CCCCCGTGCACACAGTCCTACATCAGAGCTAGGCGGTCTCAAAGTGCATCCCGCAACAAGTCCCCGTCCACGTTCGTGCTCTGTCACTGCCCGCCCGCGCCGTTCCCCACAATCCCCAAGTCTACTCTTCGACGAATGACGTTCTCATCCACCTCCCACAATAGGTTCTTATGGAAGTCGATCCCCGCGTCGAGGAGGATGTTGTGGAGAGTGCACACTACCACAAATTGTTGTGGCAAGGTCTCCAGGTTCGTCTTGTGGGTGCGAAAAAATAGAGGCCACACGCACTTCAGTCGCCCAAATGCCCTCTCCACACACCCCCGCACCACCTTCTGCCGCGTGTCCAAGCGCTCGTCGTCAGGATGGTTGTCAATTCCTCCGTACGGCTGCACGATCCATGGACAGGCAACTGTATAACCGTTGTCGCCTACCACGTAACCTCGCGTGACGACACCATGCGGCAGATTTTTCGAAGATGCGTCGAACAGCTCCCCACCTTCTGCACGCCTCCACAGCCCGGAATTGTGCAGAACGCGTACATCGTGCACGCTTCCCGGGTATCTGATGTGGACGTCGAGGATCCGCAGATCCAAATCCACCACCACCTGCGCCTGCACGGAGAACTTCTGTTTGCGGTCCTAATAGTTGGAAGGTGCGCCGACGGGCTTGTCAATGTAGATGTGTGTACATTCGATCGCGCCGAAGTAGTTTGGGAAACCCTTGTCGCGGAATGCGCGCAGAATCTGCGCACGTCTACGGCCAACTGGCCACTTGATAGCGTTGGGGTACGCCTGCAGCAGCGCCGAAATGACATCGCGGCCGGCCTGCAGTCCAATTGCCCTGCCGATGCCGAAGGACGAAGTGCCGCTCCCGCACGTCTCTCCTCACGCCCACCTGTACAACGCGAAAGCGATCACCTGCTCCACTGGCAAAGGCATCCTGTAATGCGTCACCTTCTTCTCCACGTACGCTGCGCACGCGGCAACGATCTGCCTGAACATGGCCAATGACATGCGCAATTTCTGCCGGTAATACTCGTCCGTCGCGTCATCACAGGGGCGGAGATCCTCCCATGTCCCGCCAGTCCATCGTTTGATCCACCAACGAGGGTTCCGCCGCGGGAAAACGCCAGATGACAGCGCGGCGCACAACTGGACGATTGCCTCACACGTTGCCACACAATACGGCGCTTCGGCAATGCGCTGCAACAGCACTCTTCGTTTTTGGAGCTGTACCAGCATGTCACTTGAGGACGACGACATGCCGCCCATCGTGTTCACGACGACGGCAGTGACCGCCATCGCGACCGCGTCGAGCTCCTCTTTGCGCAGACCGTGCCCACTGACGCGAATATCCATCTCCGGGAATCTTCCTCCCCGAAGAGCGTGACGCCTGCCACAAAGTCGAAGACACGCCCGCTGCTGAACCAAGTGAAGAGAGACACGCACACCGGAATGCGGCCGCTGACGTACACTGCAACAGAAGATGGCGTGCGTCGAAGTCCACAAGACAGCACACAGCGATGGTGGCGACGATGCGCATTCCCGGAAGTTACCCCCGCTGCTCGCAACTCGCGTGCACTCGGAAGATGGATACCCGCGCCGAACGCTTCGCCAGCGCCATCTTTTGTACGTCAGACGCGTCGCCCGGCCGTCCTTTGCCCCTGCCGCCTTGCGTCCGCGAAAATTCGAATTTGAATTTTTCAACTTTGGGGTGACCGTGCTTTTCACCCACCCCTCCTCGCCCGCCCACGGCCTCCGCAGTGTGTACCACGGACACCAGCCAGGACCCCGCGGACATCGGCGACGCGGCTGCTTATACGAATCTGAGAACGGGCCGCGTGAGACCTTTTAGGACGAATCCTAAAAGACTATTTTTAAGACTGCATGTAACGGCGCCGCACGGAATCCTAAAAATACTTTAGGACTCATCCTAAAAATTTTAGGATTCTTTTAGGAGTGTATAATGAGACCCTAATCATGTCTTCTTGTGTTTCTTTATTTATTTCCGCCGCACAGAATCCTAAAAATCCTTTGGGACTCGTCCTAAAAATTTTAGGATTCTTTTAGGAGTGTCTAACGAGACCCTAATCATGTCTTCTTGTGTTTCTTTATCTATTTTTTTCCCTCGAGCAACCATCTCACACCTGCAAGGGGAGGTGGTACAAGCACCCTCCTCCAGCAGCCTTCCTGCTGGATGCTCCAGTCAGTTGGTGGGGACCAGCACCTGCTGGAAGCGGGCAAGTCCAGCATCCCATATATCCACACTTGACCGGCCCCAGGTAAAACAATCGATATTATTATGGAAGAGATTATAGATCATACCTCACGATCATATAAGACTTGCTGAACTTCCGAATTGAGCTACGATGTGACAGGCATGTCGAGAGTTTCTACACCACCAGTACTTGGCTCAGCTATCGGCCGCCGGTTTAAAAATAGAGTACAAACATTTCCACTCGAATGAATATGGTCCCTCCTGAAGTGGCCCGTAAATTTCC